GGAATGATATACAAGGAGGTAGATATCTTTATTTGCTAATTAATTTGCTTGGTCCTTAATTCAGAGGGGAAAAAAAAAGACTGAAAAAGATGCAAAAAGAGACTGACAGAGCAACAGGAAAAATATGAAGAAAATAAACATCAGGTGATTTAACTTTTTTCACAGTACATTTATATTCAATTACAGTTTATGAGAAGAAGAGGAGGGCCATTAAACTATCAGCAATAATCAAGATGATGACTGCAGGGGCTTTTTTCTTCCTACCTATTGGGAGTTGCACTGAGTTCAAGTAGAATTTAATGTGAGAGAGGAATAAAAAATAGAGTAACTCTTATGACAGGGCTTGGAGAGTCTATGAATTCACCAAGCTGTGCTGATCTTAAATAGTTAATATCAGCCTGTCCAAATTGCTTACCCAAATCAATGCAAGGCGCTCTCAAGACACTTGCTCCAAGTTTTTAAGATCACTAACCCATAAAAATAAAGCTCAGTTGAGACAGGTGGTTAAATGTGCCGGAGGACTCTAAGTAGAATTGAATGCCATTATTATAAAATTCATTAATTTGAATGACTTGGTTGGCTGAATTTTAAACTGCTCTTGTCTCTGTTGCCTCTGATGCCATCATAGCTACAGGAATTCAGTGCTGGCTGATGAAGTGTAAAATATTTCTCCTTTTTTCTTTGTTTTAAAGAAATTTAAAAAGAAATTAACAGTAAGTCTGGAAAAGGAAAAAAAAAACCAGCAGCAGTCTTCTCCAGCAGTTCTAATAAGAATATAATATAAACTTTCACTAATTCAGTCAGGGGTGTATAGAGCTAACAACAGAAGCCTGATTTAAAAAGTGGATATGACACAAACATTCCACACGTGCATGTACACTACATGTAAGCTGTAAAAAATCAAGTGTTCAACTGAAGATTTTAGCAGTTGCTAGACCTCCTCTAGAACATCAGGTACAAGATAATATGCAAATTGTGTAAGGAAAGTAGTTAGGAAGTAGGATATGAAGGTTGTTCAAAGGAGAATTAAAAGTAAAGAACACAACTACTGCTGCAGGGCAACCTTGTTCCAGTATGTCCAGCGTTTTCCATAAGGAACAGCTGAAATTTCTCACAAATCATACCAGGACTATTAAATCCAGGTGGCAAAAGAATTACATTCTTAAAAGTCTCATAAATTATGGGAAAGATAAAGAATTGAAAGCCTGCTTTAGTTTCAAAACTCTTACCTGAACATTCTTTTTCAGTGAATGTTATTCAAGGAGAATGTGAAGGGCTGTTTTATTTTGTTTATCAGTTTTTGAATTTGTCATGCCTGCCGAAGAACCTTTGGGACCAGTGGAGTGTAAGAAAGCTTGCTATGGTTTACTGAGCKTTCCTGCTTATCTAAAACTACATAAATTGAACCACCAGCTACTAAATATTTCAGTATTGAAAACAACATTGGCATCTAGAGAGGCCCACTGTGTCATCTTGGCCYAATGCATGGCACCTCAGTGGAGACTGGGGAATATAGTATATGATCTAATTCAGAAGATAGAAGTGAAGGTGCTTGTATTCAACTGTGAAAATTATAAAAATAGGRAAGGATCTGTGAAACTCATGGAACAACATGGGAGTGGTGTGGGTAGACAAATGGGGATGCATGCGTGTGCAACAAACAAACAGTTTACCTGAAAAGCCACCCAGAGTCATTTCCTATATAGCGGAAACAAATAGATTTTCTTTTGTCTGTGGACAAATCTTCAGCTACAGAAGAAAGTTCATATGTCTCTGACCTGAACCCATGAAATGCTCTAGAAAAAAAATATTACTGAAGCAGGACTACTATTGTGAAGCTTGTTATCTTGGCAGTATCATTGTGTGCATCATCAAAAATGAGTGATTTCAGAATCTGGCTCAAATACTTGAGTGTTTGTTGGGGTTTTTTATTTCCTTTTTTCATAKTACTCATTACTTGGTATTACATGTTACTTTACCCCTAAATAGAGAAGCTGAAAACCAAAAAGCCTCAGCAGAATACTTGCGAAAATCRCATTTCAGAATCTGTCCTGTTCCATAGCAATCAGTATGGTTGTGTGCATCTGAGCATGAACACATTGTTCCATAGATGTTAATAACAAGGAGTGTAAAAGTAATATGTATATCATACATACCAGTGTATTTATCTAAGAAAACATTGTTCTGTAATGTAAGCAATCAATGATGCTAGAAATAAGCCTGGAAAATCAAAGAATTATAGTAGAAGCTTATAAAGGGTAGGCACAGGATGGAAAAAAGGGGTTTTGAATGCAGCTCTAAGCACAAATATTGAGCAATCTAGAAAGGAGCTGGTATCTGAGCATAACAAAAGCTGTATATCTGGCTTAGTTTTGTGAAAAAGCCTCTAGTGAATCTAAGAGAAAGTTGTAAACGCTGAAGAGTAGTGAGAGCAACAGAATTTTGTGTTTGAGGAATCTTTGCCTTGAAGGATGGCAAAGGAATATAGGAATATATTCTTTTGCCATCTGTTGTATAAGAATCACGTAGCTCAATCATAAACAGAGTTCATTGCGATGTTAAAAACTGTCCACTGGTGATAGTAAAGGCAGAGGTGTTTCTAGGCTGCACATAGATATCTGCAACAAAAGCATTAGCTGCCACCGTACTTTAAATACCCTACATTACTTTAAAATAGCATATACAGAATTAGTTTGTAGTCTTATCATTAAATTCCATTTAATGGTGTCTTATTGTTTGTTCTAATACTTCATAGATGGTGTTTTGCTTGATACCTACCTGTTAAATCTAAATATGACAACTCAAACGGTGACTTCGAGGAGGAAGGAGCAGAGGGACAAGGGCGCAGGTCATTAGAGTGTAACAGTCATGACAAGGAACGTGACAGTATTTCTTTATTTCTGCTCAGCAGCTTTCTTTTCCTGATACTTTTCAGGAAAATCTTCTTAATTTGTTTTAGTCTGTGGAGAACAGTGGCAAAATTTTACTAGTCCTGATTCTGTGGTCTGGCTGCAGTAGCGCAGTCCCTTAGTCCCCAAGCAAGGGGGTTTTTCCCCGGTTGGTCACTTGCTGGCAGGAGGGAGGGGGCCACAGCAGCAGTCCTGCTTGGGCACTGGTGCTGTAGGAGCCAACAAGCGAGCCCGCTCCTGCAGGAACCTCGTTACTTTCATGTGCGCTGTTCTATCTCAAACATGTGCTTTCTGTTTAAGTTCTGGAAGGGTTATGTACAGAGTGGTACCCTGGGGCTTGGGGAGCATTTGGGTGCTAGAAACACAGTTTGTGCCACTGTGGCACTGACTGCCTTTGCTCTCCGTGTCAGTCCCTGGGTGAGAGTGGAGTGGACATGGGATGCGGCAGCTGCAGCTCTGGCTCGAGCGGCAGCCGCTGTGGCAGCGGGTTTGCTCTCTGCCCTCTCGGAAGCAGCAGAAGTGGCTTCTGAGGTGGAAGGCCAAGGGGGAGTTTGGGGGAAAGTAGCTTCTATCTTTAGGTGTTTCAGAACTATAGCACTTTAAAAAATGTTTTCAAAGCCTTTCAGTTATTTTGCACAGTGAAAAAAGACAGTAGGGAAAGATGTCAAGAGAGACAGCTGAAATCTCCCRACATTATTATGACAATTTCAACTGAGACTGAGATCTGAGGCTTCTGGGCTCTGCTAGAGCATGGTGTTCACCTGAGTCGTGCAATACCTGCTACTGAAAGGGGTAGCGTTGTGACATGTGCGTGAGAGACTCTTGTTCTGGGACTTCCTTTCAGAGCATAGACATGAAATATCCTTTCTCAGAGAAATGTAAAGATTATTCAATACAGATCTGATAAAGGACATTTTAAGAATAAGTATTACTCTTAATASCCAAATCTGTGATATATCTTGAAGTTTTTGTATAGGTAGCCAACTACAGATAATTTTTAAAACCTGTTACTGCAGTAACAAATAATATCCATCAAGGTTGTCATTTTCATATTTTCCTTCTGTACTCTTGTTTTCAGAATCGATAATTCTGACCCCTTTTATCAATGATAGAAATGAAAGGTTAAGGATTGAGAGGTTTTTCTGCATGTGTATAATCCAGCATAACTCCTTTCTCCTCTCCTTCCTTTCTGATACTAGGAACCACAGGGTCAGCAACCTGGTTTTGAAGGGACYTCAAAAGGTAAATGCAATAGGTGCACGTGCCCACAATCGGCCCTGAGTAAGAACTCCTGTCATATTTAATGTGGCACCCGATATCTTCTACAACCTAGCAGTTCCTGAGTGCAAGCCTCTGTTTGTGCAAATAAAAGATTAAAACCCCCTTTACAACTCTAGTAAATAGCTCATAAATAGTAGTAGCTTAATGAGAAAAACAGTGATTACATATTTTTTCCCACTCTTTAATGGGTGATTTTTTTGTTCTCTTTCAAGGCAAGACATAATTAGCCTGACCAAATATTTGCAGGTTTTGGCTCTATGCTGACAAGCCTTCCCAAGCTTTATTACAGAGCAGCCAAAAGCTTATTAGGACACAGGAATAACAATAAACTTAAATGTAGGTTCCATCTAAGWTCTCACCAAATTTCAATTGTAAAACAGTTCAAGGAGATGAACTGGGAGTTACCCTCATTATAAGGTGCATTTAAGTTTCCAATGTATAGTTCTCCATGAATAAACTGTGTTATTTATCACCTTTAATGCATTTAAAGGTCATAGAAAAATATAGCAGCAATGAAAAGTCATAAGCTGATGAGATACGGTGTGGTATATATTGTGCAGTATATTGTTCAGATAGATTCCACGAAGCTAACAATAAGTCACAAGAAGGAACAGGCTAAATGATCCAGAAAAATTAAGTAAGTGGGGCCCATCAACTCAAGTACTTCACTCTCACAAAAAATGTTAAGTCTCTCCTGAAGTCAGTATAAACCAAACGTTTTCTTTGCATTTTAGAAAGATTAAATACTGAACTGATGTGTCAAGTTGTTTTTTCTGAGCTAATGGATTTTTTTCATCTGCCCCCAATCAGGAATACTGTTGCAGATACATTTCGGAGCRTGGATCCTGAAAGCACAGATGCTGTAATGCACTAGATTACATTCATATTTGTTTAGGAGCCTTTAATTTGCATCACTGCTGGAAGAATAGAAGAGTTTGGCCTATATGGTAAGTTTTTAAAAATATATGTGCATTGCCGGGTTCCTCTAAGGGCACATGTCGCTAGCTTCCAGACAGAAACTGYTGTATAAAGAAACTGTCAGCAGGAGGAGCCCTGAGCAAATGCCTCTTATTGGTATTTTTCTTTGATAGAGAATCTTTTTAGAGCAGGACATGAGTGGTGTGAATTAATTTTTTCCTCCTAACAGATTCTCTTAAAATGTTGTGGAAGATCCCTAATGATTTTCTGTACATTTAAAAAAAAAACAAAAAAAAACCAAACACTCCTTCTAGACAAGAAATCTGTTGCAAACCATAGACTCAAGAATTTTCTATCAGCCTTCTCTGCAAAGATCAGTAGATTTTTCTTTGTTTCCTCCTTTTTTGTTGTGCCAGAGATGGTATCCTGCATGCATTCACCTTCTTGTTTTTCTTGCTATTGCTCCAAGCTATTTCTTGATACACAACATAAAAACCCTGACTTGGTCATGGAAATATTTTTCCCTCTCTTAAAATCCATCCTTCACATCTCTAGAATTGTTCATGCTGAGCTGCAATGTAGAGAATGAGGTGGTCAAGACAGCTAAAAAGTACGGGATTTGATAGCCTATACAAATACAGAATATTTCCATTCCCACATTTTCTCCTCTTTTTTTTATGTTTTCACCTTGATTTTGGTTGACTGTTCTGCATAGTCTGTTTCATTGAGCTGTGTATACTATATATAATACAAAACTTAAACTGAATTCTTAGAAGGTACTCTAAATCAGATAACATGGAATAATAACTAATATCTAATTCTAGCCAAGAAATAATAACTTAAGATTTCTCGAAATTAAATCTGGTTCTGCAATAAACTCAGTGACATTTGAATTTATTTTATTTTCAGGTACCTTTTTGTAATGAAAAGATTTGATGAAGCTGTTTCTTGTTTAAACCAAAATGAAGAGTATGTCCTAGGATATTGTGCAGCTCATCATTAACAGAACTAAATGGCAAGTTACTGAAAATAACCTTCATAGTACTCTCTTTATAGCAAGCTTTGCTTTGAATGTCATCTAGCATTCCTAGCAATAACATCCTGTATGCGTTTTGATGTAAGATAGCAGGGCTCAATTGTGCTGAATGACCTTTTGAAAATAATGATTTACTGCTTATTCATGGTGCCCGTTGCTCTGAAAATTACTGGTATTTTTTTGTGATGCTATCTGGGAGCCTTCAATATTGCATTGATGTTCAGAGGTGTGCTGAAAAGTATTTTATGAGCTGTGTGAGATTCCAAACTGGTAGTAGATCATATAGGTAGRCTTGAAAATATTTTTTTTCTAAAAACAGAACTGTGGAAAATCTTTTTTACTTAATTGCCAAGACCAAATTTCAAATTTGAATATCTTCCTGAATCAGCTAATACTGCCATCAGTTAATGCTTCATTTTCAAAAGGAATAAGATTTTCAATCACTTTAAAGAAAGCCAAGTAAGTATCTATCAACTGATAGAACTCAATATGGTATGGAGACAAAATAAAACAAAACCAAGTTTTCCTTAGGCCCCTCCTGATGCACACAAGCCTGTATTTAGAAGCAGCTATTATAACTGAAAATTTGGGCTCCTGACTTCCATCTGGAATAGCAATGTTTTTCAGCAATGTATTTTTCTTGAAAATGCAATATTTAAAAGTGTTTTCCTTATTTCTTGTTGCTGTTTTGTTCATTTAGTTGCCACATTTTTCCACTCTTGCTTTTTGCAGCAGGAAGAGTTATATGCTTCATTTCAGAGAGGGTAGACTGATTCATCGAATCAAATGTTTGGATTAGAAATGACCCATACATTAATTTTGCACTAAAGATTTTGCTCCGGATGTCAACTTTTCCCTCAATGGTCAATATGAATCACTGTAAATGTAACTGATATGCCCAGGGAAGGAAAAATTATTTTGTGAAACCAGTGACTTTGACTCCATTTTAAAATTAAAACATTTGTGTCTTACTAATTTTCAAAGAATAATATTCTGGYATTCTAAATAATATTGTTTGTGTGAGTGCCCAAAGAAAAATATTCCTCATGCTTTTGGTTTCTTTGCATAGAGTTTCCTGATCTTACAGCCCTTTGTACTGCATCTAACAGCTGCTGCTTGAAGAGCAGCAGTAAATTCTCCTTGAATTTGGGGCTACCTGTAGTTAGATTAATGGCTGAGGGGAAAAATCCTGAAAACTGGTTTCAGTGGAATCATAATTTCATTTTAAGCCTGTCCAAATCAACAAAATGACGTATAAATAAGTATATGCAGAATAGTATTGCAGTTTACAATCTGATCTTTACATCTCATAAGTATATGTTGGATGATAAAGACTTCTTTGTTTAATCTCTGTTTAAGGGGGACCATCCTGACCAAATGTAAGCTGCCATAAAAAACTTCTTGAATGGGCAGTATAAACTATGTTGTTGAATCCTTGATTCAGGAGTATGCTTAAGCACCCCATATTGAAAGGGATTATTCAGATATACGTAGTGAAAAYTGTTCCTAAATTTATTTTAGTATATATTCAGGAAATCATAAGAAAATAAATGTAAATGAGATCTCTCCAAAATCAAGTCATGTTACACTACAGTCTAATATAGTGCTTTGGCTAAGGAATGAAAATTTACYTGGAACCAAATTTACTTGCATTTATAACAGCTAAGTACATAGTGTATTGCTGCTGATAAATAATGCACTTTTCTGAAGTGCATACATTTTCATAAGGCTATCATTTTATTGCTACTGCAAGATATTATAATATTTGCAGATATATTATTTAACAAGATTTTTAACATGTAGAGTGCAAGCTCAGTTTACATTTGTATAAAGGATACATAGAATTGTCTACATAATTTAAAATTTATGAATTCTATCAGTAGCAGAATGACAATGATATGGGAAAAAAATCTGGAAGAACTGTCATTTTCCTGGATATCGCAACAAATTGGAGAAATTTCAAATCCACAAGAATTTATTTCAGTGAAGATGCATGCATTGCACAAATATCATACCCTTTAATGTTTTACTCCCAACGATGTTCATCAAATCGATGTTCTTCATCCTCATGAAGAAARATACTATAAATGTGATCAAACTAAAGTCCTGAACTGGTGCAACATAGACTTTTTCCTGCTAAGTAATTTGTCAGTGATTCCCTGAGATCTTTAAAAATGCGAATGTTCTGTTTCTTTGCTGAAAACTGAATTGCATCATAAAAAAGTCCCCTATATATGAGAACGCATCTGCCCACTCTTACGAGACAAAATTATATGAACTAGGCAAACAGTGAACAAACAAATAATTTTATAACTGTAATCTCCATGAACTACAGAATTTAGACTCTGAATGAGTTGAACGAATACTGTGAAAACCAGGGTACTGTATGTACTATACGCAATGGATTTTGATTTAGGATCAAATATGTCACCTGTTATGGAGATGCCTTATGCTAAAACTTTCTTAGCAGAAGCTTCCAAAATTTCAAACTCATTTTCTGTGCAGAAATAAATTGCTCTCTATACTGACCATGATTGAAGTGTACTATAGACTTATAAATATGAAAATGTGCTTAATATGAAAACAAATACAACCTTTAAAGAGATGGATAATTCCACTCTTTATTCTTTACTCAGTATTTTTGCAATGACACTTCATCCTTTTRAAATTTCCATATGCATTGGAAGAGCAAGCAGAATATAGAAAATGTACAGATGAAAATTATTTTAAGAGAATGATGATACATATTACTATTGTTATATACTATTAGCATTAAAGTCTTCAGATGAATGATGATATAGTAATGAGTGACTTGTAGAAGGCACAGGTTTTCAATATGTTGAGATATACTTAAAGTTTTATCTATTAAAGTTCAGAACTGAAGAAAAAACAGTCTGAAAAAAGAAAAAAAGAAAAGAGTTTTCCCCTAAAGAATTAAAGGTTTGCTTATGTCTCAAATATAGAAAGCCTCATTTTTTCAGTAAGAGATGAAGCAAATTTTATGTATCAAAGCTTTGATATGTAATCCAATTCTGGATCCAATCCAATTTCTGGATTTTTTCATAAATAAAATAAATTRGACTCCATTGTTAGATAATGGAAAAAGATTGCTCACATTTCAGCCCATGTCTAATTCCTAGAGGTTGTTATTAGATTTGAGTCAACTGTTTTTTCTCAAAGTATGCATTTTAGTTGGTCAGGACCAAGGAGATAATCTTGATGAAATTCTTGCATCATAAAATCTTGATCATTACCAAAACTCTGAACTTATTTAAATCAAAAGACTTTATTTCCTTCAATTAGATTGAAATGCTAAAATGCTCATAATGTAAGTTTGCAAATTGCAACATTGGTGTAATGGATAATTAGCAGTACCCCCAATATTACTATAATTAGAGCATCATTGTGTCATCTTCAGCAGATGCTTTATAGGAGAATGACCTTTGTGCTGGGCTTCTTTGCTGTGATTTGAACCATGGTACAGTTTGTGTTTGCTAATATTTTTCCCTAGTTTTAATGAGTGCCTGTGATCTTGTGACCTACAGGAGTTAGACAATCTGGTTGATGGTTCTTTCTTCCCTGCTATCAATCAAATCAAATGCCTGTCAGAATAATGTAGAGGCATTTGCAACACGGCTGCCTGAGTGTTTGAATGGGTTAATTACAGATGACCACCTAGCTGTGAGCCAGATTATTAAAGAGTTTTTCATGCTACTTAGATTCTTCTAGGTGGACAAGTAAGTATACTAGGAAAAAAAAAAAAAGTTCATAAACAGTGAGACATCTTCACTGGCCACTCTAGTTCCCTATTATTTATGTCAGAGTGGCATTTTGTAGACATGACTCTAAAAATATGGGGTTTTTTTTGCTGCTGTACAGAATCAGCTGGGTATATTACTACAAATCAAGATATTTACTAAAGTTCTAGATTTTACTTTTGATCATATATAAAAACATAAAGATGTGATAGATTATGATTTTTGGCTATTACATCTTTCCTTCCCCTCCCCACTTGGTTACAACTTAAATTTATCACATATCTGCCAAGAACAAAGCCTAGGAATAGAGCAGAAGTAAAGACGTACACAGGTATATTGTCCTAGCTTATCCTCTACCARGAGAGTAGCTTGGGATGAAATGGAAATGTGATAAGATGATGAAACTTAATGGATGAGACAACAGGTATGATTTGAAGGAGGTATTAAGCACTCATTTTTCCTTATCATTTAGTTAAAGKGGAATAGGTGATACTTAACTGATCATAAAGAATCTTAATGTACATTTTGAGTGTGAAATTTCTAAACAAATTTAACTGCTTGATATAATTTATCTTTATTAATATTTAATATCTAGAAGCCAAGTATGAACTATTTTTAGACTGTAACTTGCATAAAGTTAGAGCATTTATCCATGTGGTCTGTGTGTATAGATCTGGGATGCATTCATGGAATATATTTAACTTAATGAGTGTGTATCCTGTCAACATAATGTTTGTGCCTTTAATTTCAATACAATATTGTAAAGACTGCTTCCAAGAATCCAGACATCCTATTTTTAACAAGTGTAATCAATTTCATTTTTGAGTGAATTGAAATTTGGCAAGTCACACTATGTCCCTGAGATGCTATTACAAAATGTTAAACTTGTGTTCTCCATCTTCTCTGGCAACTTCTCTGCCCTAGATGGGTCAACTGAGTTAGAAAATGGTGGTGGTAGAATAGGAGAGTTATGAATAGGTTTGTATTATCATTTTTTTCATTCTTTATTGCACACTTTTTTTCTCTAAAAATCCTTCCCAGATCTAGGAAAACACATTATATTTCCAAATAWGTTTTAACCAGAATGTCAAGTACAAACCAGCTATTTTTTCCCCTCTTCTTTCCTTTTTTTCCTTTTTAAGGAGGTATCAACTGCCTACATAATATAGGGCCAAATTTCTATGTTGAGCTTTACTCAGAAAAAAACACCATCAAAATCAATAACAGTTATTAATGGTACCTAAAAAAAATTAACCTTAGATGTGTACATTTATCACATTTAATATAGKCAAGAAAAAGACATTCTGTGGTTAAGATGCAGTGCTGGGAGTTAAGCAATCCAAGGTAAATGTTTTGCTATACATTTCCCATGTCATCTTCTGCAAATCATTTGGATGTCCTGGGCCTTCTCTTGCTTGTGATTGCCGGCTTTGCACTAGTAAATTCCTACTGATACTGTTGCAGAGAATTAACATCCCAGAGTTTTCATTTCCCAAYTCTTAAATAATTGAGGCAGTGATGTTTCTTATCTCATTCTTGGTTTACGGGTCTCCATTAATTCATATCCATGTATTCTTCTCTGGGGAAAAGATGTAGAGGTAAATGTGGCACTACAGACTGTTGATCTATTGATTAATTGAATGCAAGAGTCAGCGTAGTTCCAGGRAGAAGGCAATTGCGTGGAGGGAAGGAAATATGGGCTTTATTACTCACTATTTCACTAGTTTGCTATGTAACCCCAGGCAATCATTCTACCTTTCTGTGCCTCTTCCTTTCCAGTTCCATCTTCTGCTCTATTTAGGAAACATACTTATTAGAGTAGATATTGTATTTTACAGCTCCTCTCCCTAAGGTGATTACACTCATGTCTCCATTATGGTTTCTAGGCACTTTCTTAATATAAATAACACAGTAGCAAATTTTACTTTCTCTTTCATCTTTTTCTGAAGTCTAGAGTCTTAATTGCGACTTAAATACAATTTAAATACAATTTAAAAACTTAAATACAACTTAAATACAATTTAACCAACCATAAGTACTCACTTTGACAAAATAATTATTGTAAATTCTTTGYACCTCTTTATTAGTGTTATTGGCC